TCCAGGTACTTTTGATGTTTATTGGGTTTGGGTTTCAGTAAAAATAAGAGTTATGGTGAGGATGTATGAATGCAATTTTCATACATATTCAACTATCTTTGTTTATCACTATGACCAAAAGTTTTAACAAAATTCATACATTTGAAATTGATTAAATGTATATAAAAGTTCGTGAAAATGACTAAAAATTGAAGATAAATTTGATAATAAAGATAGATGAATGTAGTTGAATCTAATTGAAAGTAAATGAGTGTAGTTGAATCTAATTGAAGGTAGATAAATGTAGTTGAAGGTACTGAAAATAGTTGAAAAAAATTAAGTTCGATTAAAAAGGTCACTCATCCAGAATCTCAAAAGTTTCTCATTGTTCTTATAACTTTTTTCTCACATAATTTCTCATATAATTTCTCATATATATATATATACACATAGAGAGAGAGAGAGAGAGAGATGTGGGTTATTATACAACCCCTTACATATGTACAACAATACAACTCAATCTAAACCGTCCATTTATTTTGATGAATATGTAATTTCATAGAAGTTTTGATTGTTTCCTAATATAAAGTATTGATCGTAATTAATGAACCTTATTAATCTTTCATAAATATTTAAATTATAATAAATGAACTCTTATCATTTATATAAATATTTTAATTTATTGTGTTGCATTAGTTGTACAAATGTGATGTGTTGCATTTTGAAACAAACTCTCTCTCTCTCTCTCTCTCTCTCTCTCTCTATATATATATATATATATATATATATATCTATACTATCTTATAAAGCATTTGGTTAAAACTCTTAAACCCTTCCCATATCCGAATTCGTGTAACTAACTGCAGATAAACACAATCAAATACAAGATAAACATCTTATTTTAAATATAATCTATATCTATACTATATAATAAAGCATTTGATAAAAACTCTTAAAAATCATTTTTTATGCATGAAGTACAATACATTGACGCATATTACTTAAAATTCAAGATTACAAGTAAATTATGCATAAGTACAACTTATTAAAACTTCATGTTTGAATTCGTGTAACTAACTCTGGATAAACATAATCAAATAAAGGATAAACATTTCATTTTAAAATATAAAAAATTTAAAATATAATTAGGATAATTATTGAGTTATAACAAAATAATTAATTATTATTTTTATAAAAATATATATTATTAAACCAAATANATTAAAAAATTACACAAATAATAAGAATTTTAAATAGTTAATTTGATACTAATATCGATATATTTTTGTCAAAATTTTAAGATATTTTCAAATTTATATTTTATTCAAAAATAAAAACATCATCGCCTTTTCAAAATCATATAAGACCATACTATAACATTGACCGAAATAAAGAATAAAATGAAATATTAAAATCAAGATATACCTCGCTGCATTGTGCGAGTACCTTTCTAGTATATATATGTGTGTGTGTGTGTGTTTGTGTGTTGTGGTGGGGGGTTCAAATAAAAAAAAGACAATAATGTTGAAAGCGTAATAATAAATTATTCGTATATGAATCATTGGTAAACCTAATTTTTTTTTTAATTTAAAGATGCATAAGTGAACCTATGTTGCATTTTCTTCCTTTTTCCGGTTATTCATATACTAAGATTCATACGTGAATTTGTGTTTTCTTTTACTAATAATTTACAAATAAATCATTTATCTTTCTCGTTCTTAACTTTTTTGTTTTTCTTATTTTAACCATCTTCTGTATACACACACACATATATATATATATATATATATATATATATATATATATATGCATATGTGTTCATCCGTTATACCGTCAAGTTTTATTGGAAGGTTTGCTTATGAATTTTGAGTATACTACATCATCGAGTAAGAACTACAAAAGTCCAACTAAGGTTTAAAGAAAAGTTCCTTGATGGATGAGCCTTTAAGAGTCCGATTTAATAATAGAGCAATCTCAATTATCACCCACGTACAATCACTAGGCTTAATGATCCCGTTGAAATAGGCATTGGAGCTGTACTATGTTAAAAAAATATATATTATTAAATGATTTGATGTCAACTATTAAAAGATTGAACAATTAAACTAAAGAGCAATTAGGTCCACTTGGACTTAATGCACAAGGGCCGAAACCAAGACCGAGCGAGTATAATTTTTAAAATGTACAGATTGATAGATGAAAAATGTATAAAACAATAACGACTGCAGATGAATTAAGCCATAGTGTGGGCTCAAAAAAGTTAAGCCGTATAATTTAAGGGGCAATAATTACAAGTGCCTTTCAACAATTGTTTTGGTATTAATATCAGTTTTTTTTACATAAATATGATAAAAGAAAGAGCAAATTACACTTTTAGTCTTTGTGGTTGATACCCATTTGTAACTCTCATCCCCGTTTTAAACTAATTGTACTTTTGGTTATTGTGGTTGATATTTTGCTTCACTTTTGGTCCTCTGACTTACCGGCGTTAAAAGAGTCTTTAACTCAAGGAGTCAAGGGCATTTTTGTCTTTCTATTATTTTGTTGTATTTTTTCCTATTTCCTATTATTAGATTATATATATATGGGCTCATTCAAGAGAGAATTGATTAGTTTGTGGTAACTATGAGATCTAATCTCAACTACAAATCATGGATAAATTAGAAAATTAATAATTATGGTAGTTTGAGTTAAAATTATAATTAGAGAGTATTTTAGGTATTTTTAAAAAACTCATTTCTCCTCTCTCATATCTCAGACCTCCAATCTCCGGCCTCCGATGAACAAAAATCCGGCAGGTACCAAGTAATCACAAAGATACACACTGTGATACCCATTGTGATATACTGTGATACCATTTGAGTACCATTGTATATCACAATATATCAATCTTCGGGTTACAAATTTGACCTCAATATATCAATTCTTGATTTGGATTTGCATTCTAAACCTTAAAATGAACTGAACCAGAGCTTGATATGAACAAATTCACTTTAGTCGATTGTTTATGATGACATTGTTGCTTGAAATCTCCTCCTCAAATCCCACAAGTTATTAGTTTTGAAATATGGAATACAATCGTTTAAAATGATATTGTATTTACACATATGATTGAAGCATTATAAATGGTTGTGGATTTAGTCTCACATCTTGCAATTGCGTGCTTCGGGTTTCTAAACCCGAGATTTCCATTCATGAAATCTCTAAAAATCATCATTTTTTGGGTTATTACAATTTAACAGAATCGAACTGATGGTCTGACTTTTTTGACCGAAGAAGATGATGGATGCATGAGGTCGGAGTTACTGCGACGACAGTGGTTGGGAGAGGAGGAACAAGAAGGATTTTGTGTCTATATTAATATTGTATATAACTCTAAAATAAGGTAAAAGACCAAAATACCCTTCAGTTAACATACTTTTTTAATGGCAGCTAGTTAAGAGGACTAAAAGTGAATAATTCAAAAGAGGGGCTAGAGTTGTCAATGAGTGACAATCACATGGGTCAAAAGTGTAATTTACTTTAAAAATAAATGATCAATAATTAAAGAAAATATAAAAAACACGACTATGTTACAATTTGTGGTTCATGATGGTTGACTACGGTTGATGGCGATGGTGTCACAATGTGCCACCGTATGACCACCTACGGCCCTACTCTCTTTATCACCTTGTAAAAAACGTTACAATTGAACTAAATTTTTTAAACAACTCTTCGATTTATATATCGTTAATAACGTTTTTTGTATTTCTGATATAATTTATTTAATTCAAATACATCGACACATAATATTCATAAACCCAAATAATTCGAACAAATTTACAAACCAGTTTTTATAGGTTATTTCAGATATAGCACACACGTGTAAATACACAATTTTATACAGTTTTTTTTTTAATATGTCAAACATTTACGACTGTTTTATGTGTAAGAAAAACAACATGATCAAGAATGTTTTACATATGAAACAACATTATACAAGCACCTGATTTATTGAGAGGTGGTTTATTATACAAACCAATATATTTTTACAAACCAATTTCAACCGTCCGTTAAGTCTAATAATTACGTGGTTTCATAAATGTCTTGATTGTTTGTTAATATAAAACGTTGATCATAATTAATGAACTTTAATCATATTTCATAGATATTCAGATCATAATAAATGGAACTTTATCGTTTCCATAAATATTGATGTGCATGGTTCTTGTGATAAAAAAACACAAATGAAATTTAACCATGCAATTAAAAAATTAATTACTGGTATATTTCATTTGTTTTGAAAAGAATTAGATTAAAGCAATATGATCAGGAAAAAATATATCATATTTTAGCATTCTAAACCGTTATAATTGACGCATAATTTATACTATATTATAAAACATTTGATAAAAACTCTCAAAAATCATTTTTTATGCATTAAGTATTGTTTATTGATGCATATTACTTAAAATTCAAGATTACAAATAAATTTTGCGTATGTACAACTTATTAAAACTTCATGTTCATAAAACTAACTGCAAATAAACATAATAAAAAACTAGATAAATATCTCATTTTAAATATAATAAATCTATAATATATTTATTAAAAACATTTAATTTTAATAAAATACTAATTATCATCTTTATAAAAAATCATATTATTAAAAAAATGACTTTATTATTGAATCTAAATCAACTTACAATAAAAAATCAAATAAAGAAATTATACAAAAAAAATTAAAGAACTTTTCAAAATTTTATAATACATTTAAATTTATATTTTATTCAAAAAATAAAAATATTATAATTTTTTCAGTACCATATAAAATGGTATTATAACATCGAAAAAGAGAGAATAAAATACAACATTAAAATCGAGATGTATTTTATAGAATTACATGAATACTTTTTTTAGTTTTCAAATAATAAATACTATTAATATATACACATTTTTTAATTAATAAAATTAGGATAGATTAGAAAAAGAAAATCATGGAGTTTTGATTTGTAAATGGTGAGAACCATTTAGAAATGTAGGATAAAATCCTCTCTTTCTAGCTTTCCCTTTCCCTTCTTTCTTCTTTCTTTCATTTCTTAATTTTCTTTCCATCCACCTTACAACCACCGCCACCGCCACCACCCACCACCGTCTCTTTATTTGCTTCCGGTTTGGATCTGTATATATGGACTCTAGCAACAGTGGCAGTTTCCAATCTTCAAGTGGTGGCGCCGGTGGTGGTGGTGCTGATAATGAAGAATATGATTCAAGAACTCAGTCCATCTCTTCCTTCTTGAATCCTTCCACCCACTTCAACCCTAATCTCAACCACCTTCTCCGACCACCGCCATCATCTTCTCACCACCACCATCACCATCCAACCACCGATCATACTGCCTTATTTGATCCTTCTACGACGCCATCTTTTCCACACTCTTCAAACCCAAACCGGAACTCGAACCCACTCCACGATCTCGATTCCGTTTGGACCAGAGACATACGACCGGACCCGAACCTTGCAGACTTCGGTTCAACCCGAACCCAGACCACCTTCGACACCTACCCTATTAACCCTACTAACTCATCAAGAATGGATACGAATACAAAAACGGGTCGTGGATCGGATCAGCATCATCATCAGGTAGGAGCAACGATAAAGAATCCGAAGAAACGTACACGAGCTTCACGGCGGGCACCAACCACCGTTCTCACTACCGACACCACTAACTTCCGGCAAATGGTTCAAGAATTCACCGGCATCCCCACGGCACCTTTCACCGCCGCATCCTCCCCGTTTTCTCGTCGTCTAGACCTTTTCGGTCGTGCCGGCGACGGTGGAACGGCGTCGCTTTATCCTCTCCGGCCGTCGGCTCAGAAAATTCAACAACAGCAGCCATCATTTTTGAATTCTATGGCCAATATCATAGAGTCTGGTACTAGCAATAATATTACTAACGCCACCACTTCAAGTAATTACGAGTTACCCCCTTCTGATATACATGAATTCCAAAAACAACCCTCAACTTTGTTAGATTTACAAAACCCAATGTTATCATTCCAATCTCTTTTACAAACCACACTTCCTCAGCAATCCAGCCATTTGAGTGGGTTTCCAAGTTCTTCCAAGAGATGGAGAGGCCAAGATGAAAAGGTAGATAGTTTTGAGGGGGTAATTGGTAATACTCAAAACATTGGTGGCTCAAAGTTAAATTCTGGTTTAGAGAATGTTGTGGTTTCATCAAGAAGTGGTGGTGATCAAGCTCAAGGTAACGAAGATTCATGGATTTGCCCTTCTAATTAATTATTTAATTAGGAATATTTTTTTATTATGTAATAGTTGTATTAATTATCTTTATACACAAAATTATAATGTGTTAAGTTTATCGCTAGTGCCTTCTAAATCTTTTTACTACATATGCATATACATACAAGGTTGGGTTCACGTGAGACCCAGGGTTTTTCGTGAGACCCGTAAGACCAATTTATGTTCATTGATCAACTTTATAAGTTAATGATCTTATGTTCTAAAGTTGTAAGGTGACAATTTTGTGATTATTGAGAAGTTTCGTGACAATTTTGTGATTATGAATGTTCAGATTGTAGATCTATAAGAGTTAGAGAATTTGTCTTATGGGTCTCGCGAAAAACCTTTGGTCTCACATGATCCCAAGTCTATACAAATACACACACATATATATATATATATATACACATATATATATATATATACACATATACATATACTTACTCGGGGGTTATTTGTTTACCTTTTAATAGTTTCATTAAGGGACAATCTCTGCATCATTAAGAGGTGAATCTTGTTTGGCAAAAAAAAAAGATATGTCTGATGGTTTTAGAACCTTCTGAATGATTTTGTATCTTGGGTCTCACTTAATCATTCAGTGTCCTAATTTTATTGTAAACAGCTATCAAACAATTATATTTCATTTTGCATTATATCATGAGTCTCTTACAGCTTCTACACATACATATACATGTATGTATATGACACACACACACACACATATATATATATATACACATATATGTGTGTGTGTGTGTGTAGAATGTGCGTATAACTCATTAAGACGTTTCTAGTTGTAGACTGTTTACGTGTTTTTTGGGTGACATATATATGTGTGTGTGTATGTAAAATGTGTGTATAACTCATTAACACGTTAAGAGTTATAGACTGTTTTCGTATTTTTTTAGATGACTTTTGATGAGAATGAATGTTGATTTTGGTTTTCATCGTAATTAGGGACCATTTAACAAATGCTTACCGATAAAATTCAACACTATACCTTATTGACCGGGTAAGATTTTAGTCCATAAAAACGGCATTGTATGCCACAGTTCACCAGGTAAGCGCTAACCATGGTAAGAGTCGTCGTCCTCACTTACCGGGTAAGACTCTTGGTCTTTACCTTCGCTCTTACCGGGTAAGACTTTTGTCCCTTGCCATATTCATCTGGTAAGGTAATGTAACTTGGTAACCGCTTACCCACGTAAGCATTTGGTAAACGGTTCCTAAATCAAATAGAATCCATAATAATTTTGGTTACATAAACTCTAAAATGATTGTATTCTCTCATTTTCTTTTAATTAATTTAAAAACAATTTAGGAGTGTAATAAAAGGATATATATAATCCTTTTATTCCAACAATTTAAATAATAAACTCAAAAATTCTGATTTATAAAAAAAAACAATAAACTCAAATTTCCCGAATATAATGGGTCAAATTGTGGATACACTCGTTAATATAAAAAAACAACAAAGATATCACTTTTAATATATATTTTTCCCTTTGGCAACTTACTCGAGAATCTTTAGCTTTTATTATCATGTATACAGAATAACAGCGTTGGTTTTTTTTATAAGAATTAAGTTTATCTATGTTATATTATAAAGTATTTAACAAAAAAATTTAAAAACTATTTTTTATGTATGGAGTACTGTATATTGATGCATATTACTTAAAATTCAAGATTACAAGTAAATTATGCATAAGTCCAACTTATTAAAGCTTCATGTTTGAATTCGTGTAACTAACTACGATAAACATAATCAATTAGAGGATAAACATTTCACTTTAAAATCTAAAAAATCTAAAATATAATTAGGATAATTATCGAGTTCTAACAAAATAATTAATTATAATCTTTGTAAAAAAATTATATTATTAAACTAAATATAAATTACTTCGTTATTAAATCTAAATTAAATTATAATAAAAATTTTGAATTAAAAAATTACATAAAAATAGGAATTTTAAATAGTTAATTTGATACTAATATCGATATATTTTTATCAAATTTTTATGATATCTTTAAATTTATATTTTATTCAAAAATAAAAACATTATCCCTTTTTCAGAATCACATAAGACCATACTATAACATCAACTGAGATAAAGAATAAAATGAAATATTAAAATCAAGATGTATCTCACTGCATTGTGCGAGTACCCTTCTAGTATGATTAAATAATAAAATATTTTATTTTAAAATGTTGTAACAAGTTTATAAGACGTTTTTTGTTGTATTAACAAATTTTCTAGGATCATTTCAAAATGAAGTGTCATATTAGTTATTTTAATCGACACTTTTTAGAAGTATCATATAAACATATCTTTTTATATGACACTTGTTTTTATAAGACATTTTCCAAATAATATAATGTAAAATAACTAATATGACGTTTTATTTTAAAAAGTTTGTTAAATCGTCCAAAGAACATCATGTAAACATATTGTAACACTTTTGAATATGACATTTTATCATTTAAACTTAAATCCTTTAAAATAGTTTATTATGACACTTAAAAACATTTTTGACGTCCTATTTAGACTATAAATCCCGAAGCCAATTTTTGTATCACTTCGTTCTAAAACCATAATGTTAAAAACGAATTAGATTTACGACATGAATGGTTATAAAAATTCGTATAGGATTTGTAAATCACACACTACAGGTGCATATTCGAGTTTCTGTATGTTTATGCAAGTATACTATCTCGCAACCAATTGTGTTACATTGTGGGGGCAAGTTTTGTCTATTTCGTTCTTATGGAAATTGTAAAAGGTGTAACATGTGAAACCCTCGATCCAAAACAACGGACTAATCGAATAACTTTCAGTCAAGTTAAAATCATGATAAAAACTACCAGCAGCTAGTCGACGATTTGAGGATTATAAAGTGCTCAAAAGTCTTGTCTAGTTTCTACCCATGTGCGATGGTTGCCACAACTCCCGCCCTAATTAAACTAGCTCATGGTTATTGCGTGTAAGTAAGAGTCATCGTCTCACTTGTTTTACAGGGTAAAATACTTATCAACAAGAGTCATTCCGTTTATAATAACTCGTCATAACGAGCTATTTAGAACTATGGCTCTGATACCACTTGTAATATCTCAACACAGTTAAATAAACTTTAAAAATGTTGGAAATTATTGGTAATACTCTATTTAATACATATAAAAACTAATAAATCCAACTTTATGTAAGTGATTTAGATTATTGATATTTATTCTAGTCATGCATTATATAATTGTTTAATGTGTAAAAAGAATTTCAAATTTACACAATTTTCTATGTGTTCATTTGTTATTTTTTTTATTTTCTCATGGACAAAAAAATTGATTACCGACAATCCAAACCAGCACCACACGGAAACCGCCTTTAAAGACACAATGTGAGGGGATAACTCAAAGGCTTAGGGGTTGTTTCACAGTTGTTGAATGATTTGATGCAGAATGATTAAGAGACTCTTATGATATAGTGAAAATGAAATATAATTGTTTGTTAATTGTTTATAATGAAATTAAGACGCTTAATGGTTAATGGAGACCCATGATACAAACTCATTCAGAGAACTTTAGAACCATTAAGAGACATATTTTTTTTTTGTCAAACAAGATTCACCTCTTAATAAAACTATTAAAAGGAAAACAAACAACCCCTTAGGCTAGCGAAGGGGCCCATAAACGAACGCGTGACTAATCTTGATTCTTTTGTCAACTGAGTTAACATCAGAGCAGATTGTTTATTTTATTAAAAAGTTGTTGGAAATTGTTTTTGTTGAGCAACCATTTATTTGTTTTATTTTTAGTGTATTAGATATGAATTTATAGTCAATGTTTGTTAATTTAAAATATAAATATGAAATTTTATACATAAAAATTGTTGGTATTCTTGTTTTAACATCTTATGATATAAATATCAAATCACTTTATGAATTATCATAGAAGAAGACATAAATGGGAAAAGATGGCTTAATAAAATAAGATATTAAATTATGAAAAATGAGTGATTGATATTGATATTGGTAGTGGATATAATGATGGTGAAATTTTCTATGGGGAAATGGTATATCTTTTTTCACAATAATTGTTACATTTGATTAAGTCATGGGAAAAATATCTGAAAATTGAATATGAAAATCATCTAGAGAGATTAAGCATCATATCAGGCTTGTTTGTTTATTTTTTAATAGTTTTATTAAGAGACAACTTTTGAATCATTAAAAGGTGAATCTTGTTTGAGAAAAAAAAAGTCCGTTTCTTAATGGTTCTAAAATCTTCTGAATGATTTTGTATCATGGATCTCTCTTAACCATTAATAACCCTAATTTCATTGTACATAATTACCAAACAATTATATTTCATTTTGCACTATATTATAAGAGTCTCTTAATCATTCTAACCACTTAATCATTGTGCAACAAATCATTCAGCAATTGTCAAACAACCCCTGAGAGGGTTGTATATGAGGGTTTTCTAGGTAAATTTCGATTTCGGCTTTTGAGAAAAGTTTGTTCATACAGCTATGCTAACTATATTTTAAATAGAGAAAAAGAAATCTTAAAATTTAAAATAATAATAATATAGTTGATTTTGCCATAATTCATATTTAGTGCAAAATCTGATACTATATCCAACAAATGACGTCATCATTTTATAGCAATTACTTTTGTGTGCTAAAAGAAATCCGTAAAAAGTACTTCAAGATGTTTTAAAATACAAGCCCTCGTGCCACCTATTAGGCTATTAATATATTACTTCATTGCCTTACTATAATATATATATATATTTTTAAATTATATATACATACACATATATATATATATATATATATATTATAAAATATTTGATAAAAACTCTTCAAAATAATTTTTTATGCATAAATTACTGTTTATTGATATATATTACTTAAAATTCAAGATAACAAGTAAATTGTGTATAAGTACAATTTATTAAAACTTTATGTTTGAATTCGTGTAACTAACTGCGGATAAACATAATCAAATAGAGGACAAA